TAATACTAAAGCAACAAGATTGAATGTTTTTTTGCATTCATACTCACTCCAAGGAAGCTCATCACATCAGTTCCCATATCAGAACCTGAAACAAGATCCCTGACATGAAGTACAAGTAGTAGAGGTCAGGAAACGGAGACAAAACAAGCAGTAGAGTTGGCAGGATCTACAGCACTTAGTTTTAAGGAAATTAAAAGATCAATTGTCCAACCTACTGATGATGCTGTGCAAGTTTGTCCTTAAAACTGCCTCAAGTTCAGAGACTTCAAAAGGTGGTTAATGTGATGCCAACATTCTAGTCAGCAAGGTATGGACAGGATACCTGATGTTAGTACTGGCCAAGTTGCTAAAAACTCTTGTACTGAACAGAGGTAGTGAACCCAAACATAAATACGATGTGTTGGGGAGGAACTAATCATAGCTTCTGTAGAGAGAAGTCACATCTCACAGATCTATTATGAATTTTTTTTTAAGGAGTCAATAAGCAAGCAGATAATGTTTGTGGATTTGCACTTGACAAGATCTCACAAGCCTCTTGAAAAAACCTTTAGCCGGCAACAGACACGAGGGAAGATCCTCATGATCCTTCTAAAAAATTTCTTGGAAAATACCAAACAGTGGCCAGGAATAAACAGACATGTTTCCACAGTCGAGAGAGGACCCTAAAGAAATCCCAATCAGATCTCTGCTTGCGCTTGTGCCATTCGATTCATATAAGATCTAGGACAACAGTAAAGCATGAGATGTCAACAACTGCTGAACAATTATTTGAGTCAGTAAAGATGTATAAAAAGATCTTGTAAAGCTGAGCAGTAGCTCAGCAGAGGAAGTAACAGATGAAATTCAATGTCAATCAATTCAAAATAATCCAGTTTCTGTGATCAATGATGGGCTATTAGCTGGTGTATACAAAAATGACATCTTAGAATTAAAATCAATACTTCTATGACAGTATCAGTTAATTGCTCAGTAGTAGTTCAAAAATCCCAAATCCCCATTCATGAATAATTACAGAAGGAACAGAAACAAAACAGAAAGCACCACTGTACCACTAAGTCTTAAATACTTTGTGCACTTCTGGTTCCAGTGGCTAAAAATGCCATAGCTCAAATGGAAACAGTACAGAAGAACAAGGGTGATCAGAGGAATTAACCTGATCCCGTACCAATGAAAAACAAAACAGAACAGGATTTTACAAGTTTGGCACACAGATAGTTGAGGGAAGCTAGAATATAGATGTACAAAGTCATGATGGGTATGAAGGTGGCAATTAGGGAATACCTATTTACTGTCTCTTCCTGTACAAGTACTAGAAGTACAAGAAGGTATTTCAGTACAAGAACACGAGGATAACAAATGAAGCTACCAGCAAGAAAAAGGATACCTCCTTTTCCACAGAACATATACTCAAGTATAGAACTCCTTACTACAGGATGTTGTAGGTGCTAAAAGTGCAGATGTCTCTGAAATACAACTGAACAAAATAGATCAAGCTCCTCCAGGAGGTACTCAGCATAAAAGCATTATTCTGGGCTTGGGAGGTGCTAGGTTGTAGACAGCCAGATATTAGGAATACTTCTGCAAACTTCAGCCACCGCTGGAGAAAGCCTGCTAGAGCAGAGGGTCCTTCAGATTGATCCAGCACACACATTATCATGCCAACTGCTTTCAACAGCCATAGTTCACAACAATGTTCCTGAGCAACAAGTCATCTCTAAAAGCACTTAAGTGACCAAGAAACACAGAGAAAACAACCTACTGCATCCTTAAAATATTAACCTTGGGCCAGCAGGCCAAGCCAACACCAAGCACTGTTGTCAAACCATACATAAGATAAATTATTACTATCAGAGATATTTCTCAGGAAACAAACTACAGTATTAGCTAAACATAGATTCTGCTAGTATAAATATTGAATGCTACATTTCATACCACTGTACGCCTACCCTGACACCCAGCCAGGTCCACTTAAGTCACATATTCTGATAAGGACCAAAGACAAAACATCAACATGAAGATTAAGGCCTGAATGCTAAAAACAGTTGGTCCAAAACAACTTTTCATCTGTCATCTCCATTTTATCTGCTATTAATTGCATCTCAGTTGCTGAGCTCATCTGTCTAAAACAAATGCGAGTTACAGAAGATACAGCTATAAAGACTAAATATTCCATGTAATCTGGTCTGAATAAATTCACCCATACCTAAGAAGCTTGTGTTTAAAGTGTTCTTAAAAACCTCCCATTACAGAGGTCCTACATTCTCTCTGGGCATCCTAAATGGCTAAGACAGTACACAGCTGAAATAAAATCTTCCCTAATTTTCATATTGTCTCCCTTACTGCATTTCATCTCTCTTTCAAAAGGCTAAATTAGACCCTAAAATATAAGTCTCATGGCAGGAAATTGTTGTCCTTGGTATGGATGAAATCTAAAGCATCCTTTATCACTTTCATATTTAGATTGCAGGATATTGGTTTTGCTTGTTCATGAAAATCTACTTTAACTAGTGATTTAAGACATTTAAATGCTTTCAGGAAAGGTAGTTAAAAAAAAAAAAATCAAGAATACTTCTCATTATATTCACTCTGAAATCTAAGCCACATTCAGTCAATTATTTTCACTTTCTATTGTGGACATTCAAGGCAGAAATACTAACCTAACCTCCAGGAAAAACATCCAGGCCAGAATAATACTGTAATATTTCAAATGAATCCCTACAATTTAGTATCTGTCATACTTTCTTCCTTAACAGGAGTAAGTCAATGTTAATATGACTTAATGAAGAATCCTGACAACATTCTCATATTTCTGAATTGAAATTACTTGATTACACTCTCCTTGAAGCTATTATTTACATCTTAATAAAGGACTATCATTATAGTTCTTTAATGGCTCAAAAGCGATCAAATAACAGTGAAAAACATAACCTGAGAGCAAAAAATATTTCCTCTAGCTATCTAGCTATGTAAATTTGACAAGTGCTTATAACATGCTCACAGAGCACATAAAAAATAAGCACATGAAGCAAAACTGAAAGAACAAATTCTTTATGCCCACAACAGGGAAAACAGGAGGACATAGGATTTTAATGAAACTGCAGTTAACTTTGGGCTCACTTTTAGAATTAAAAATAATGAAATCCCCAGCCTGCACCTCTCTGCCCTCAGTTTTTATCACATGTCCAAAATTCTCAGTTTTGACTACAAGTCTGTAAGAACCTTGCTTCAGGTTTTATTAATGCCTAAAGTGTTATTGTTTTTCACAACAAAGCAATAGAATCTATAAAAATATCTGGGTAGGTATTTAAAGCCTTCAGCAAATTTGAACATAGTCAAGAATTTTGTTTATTTTATTGCCTGAACAACTGCAATGCGTAATCAACTTTACTAACTAACTGTTAAACAACTCTTTGATGGCTATCAAGCACTAAGCAGGCAAGAAAAATTCTATACGTACTATCTCAAAATATTGCTGGTTTTTCAGCACTGAAACTGCAGTAGACTAAGTAATTTAATAATACTTCTTTCCAGAAGATGCAATTGGACTCAACAATCTAAACTGTCACAAAAAATAACGTCTAAAAATTTTATGCCACTTATTTACACAGCCCCTTTTGTATAAAGCCATTTTATTTCACCACAATTAATGTAATTAGCTTACCATAATAACACACCTCATTCACCATTTCTCAAGACAAGGCCAACCTTCTGAAGAAGCTGAGAAAGACTGGGAGCACAGAAACATTAAGAGTGAGGTCAGCTTGGTACCTATTAGATGACTTCTGATCGAATGCAGATTGTCCTCACCTGACTTCCCCCTGCCTTTTCACTGCAGGTTTGTACCAGCAGAACATCCTGGATCTGCCACTACAGCTACACACATAGTTGCTCCCTTGCCGAAATCCACCAAAATGGACTAAACTAGATTACAGGTACTACAGCCACCGGCAGTAATTGCAGACAGGCAGGTGAGGGCAAGGATGCAAAGGTACTCTTAACTAATTTCAGTTAGATTTTCCATATGGTTCTTGACCTGCTGGCAAGAGACTGAGAAAAGCAATGGGGATGGAGAGGGCAGGAAACATGACTGATTTCTTGCCTTCTTGCTTCTGTTCCTTTGGTACTTCTAGTGAGAGTTCTGCGATACTGGTCTACTCGTTTCTTACTCACCAGTTGTGAAAATGCTAACCATGAGAGCAAATTATTCTGGTCAACAATATCAAAGTAATTAATTAAAAGATGGTTCCCCTCTTTAAAAACCTCTCTTCCCATTAAATTTGAAGGAAGTGAGGATAGAAGAGCCCAAACAGTCTGACAGAAAAGCCTTACACTAGAGAAACATGACAAGAGGGCCCCAGAGTAGCAGAGGGACTACATTGCGGGATATCCCTCTTCGTGCCATTTCCCTCCTTTCTAAGGTAGGCAGCTGTACATTATACAGCACAGTGGCCGTTAGTTAAAGGGACTCCACAACCCTGTGTACAAACATCCTTAAAGGCATGAGGATGATAAAGCATTCAGAATAGGCAGCTTCAAGGCAGAATTTTGTGAGTATGAAGGAAGAAACACTAAATATATAGTTTAAGCCTCCAATCATCACAGAAGCAAAGACTACTTTAATTTCTTAGCAGTCAGCTTAAAAGTGTTGCTGCAGCCAATATATTAGTATCATTAAACAGAAGCATTTAACTATCTATAATACACACCGCAAATCTAGTTTAAGTCCAAGATTTTTCACAAGCACACAAAAGATTATCAAAAGCCCTCCTAACAGTATTAAATAAGACATGTTCCCAGAGTTTCTACGAACAGACAAAAACTGTTTCCCAGAAACTATCCTATTAGCTTTAAACTACGTAAAGAAAACTTAACAACATTTCATCCTCATCAGCTACTCACAAATCAAATCTTCAGTCTTATCTGCATACAGCCAGCTGGTTTTTAAAATTCTGCCGTAATTGAGGGGAAAAATAATTAAGCAATATTATTAGTCATCTTACCATTGTTCCCTGGTGGTTGTAATGCATCTCCTGTCAAGCTACACCATCCGACTGGGAAAATATCTCGAGAATCGCATCTGCACCAATAGTCAAATGCTCCTCTCCAGCCATCAAATGTAACAAAAACTTCCTCTCCTTTAACATCTCCAATGGTTGCTGGGCAAATCAAGTATGGGTTCTTTCTATCTATAGCTTCAAGTTTCATTCCAACTTTAAAGCAGTTTGGCACAGGTTTTGCTGGTTCCTACAAAAGTAAGAGTAGTAGAATATTTGTATTTCTATGGCCTCTTAAAAAATAAAAAAAAGAAAACCCTCCGTTTTTCTTCAACATCCTTACTTCTCATACTCACTACTCTCAAAAAGTTATAATAGACATTCAAGGAAACTTACATGTATTTCCAATTTGCTTTTGCTCTTCTGTATTATAAAAAAATCTAGATTCTGTTCCCACAAACACAGCTACGATAATTAGCAAAATTCTCCATGACAGAAAGACCCTGTTAAAAGTATTTACATAAGCAATAGGTTGCACCCAATACATTATGTCTGGGCAGCAAGACAGCAAAGACACTAAAATGAAATTATTACTTGCTAATAAAGAAGAGGAGGTTTGCAGGGAATGGATATTTCTGGAGACTGATAACTGTCTGGTAAGAGCCTCCCCTCCCAATTAATCCATGAAAAATTCATTAGCATTGGACATTATTTATAGGCCTCTCAACTCAGTTGGCCTTAGACCAATTCCAAGTGGACAAAAAAAACCAAACCCACAAAAATCAAGTCAATGTGACCAGCATAAGTGTACCCCACAGCAGCAGTTGTGACTGGATGGAACCTGAATTACCACCTCAGCCTCGGGAACCTCATTATCCAAAAGCCATCTCGGATGTGCTGGTAGGCTAGCACAGGGAAGCGTGGCTGATCACACATCAGAAAATTATATAATCTTATATAAAAAAATTACATAATTACATAAAGTTAACATGCAAGCAATGTGATTGCAGGTCTGAGCCCAACTGTTTGATCTGCTGACATACTTGTCAATGTCGCTCTCAGCATCAAAACTGAAGTCACTCAACATTGACAGCAGGGTTTTACCACCCCAACAAAAAATTGAGCCAATAAGTCATTTTAATATTACTGTTGGTTTTATATGATTTTTCATGTTTCACAGCAACTTAATAGTCATGTTTAAAAAACTGTACAGCTTTTTCTGCTATTTTCAACTACTTTCTCACTACATTTTAAATGATTGGTACGTTCCCAATGAAAACAGTTAACAAAACCTTTCTGAGCACCACTGTATTCCAATGGCTCTTATTACCCATTAAAAATATTTTTACTCCTGTGCACAATCGCATGAATATGGTGCCGTTAAGAAATGTGATATGCATTGTATCTTAAATCCACAAGACACAAAAAATGAGCAAACATCATTTTTCTAAATAACACACCATACTTTAATGTCTGAACTCAGGAAAAGAGATGCCTATCTCAACGGACCAGAAGCAGATCGCTTCCTGTCTAGCTTTGTAGCTTGCCAATCCAGTTCAAAGTCATTTTAGATAATAGTCTTGCCTTCCCGTGCTGCATACAACAGGATAATATCTTAGCATCCTCATTAAAAAAATGTAACCATGGACCAATTGATAGAAAGTTGTTTACTAGCAGTCCCTTTCTTCTTACCTTCTTAAAGAATGCTGCAGGTGCCATTTCAGCTCCATTGAGAGTTCTTAAGAGAAACATTGGCCACGAAGACGCATTCATCTGGAACCCTGAGTAACAAACAAACAAACAGCCCTATTTTCAGTTTGTAAAATAAAATATGAGGAGAAGGATATAAAGTCTGTTTTACTACTACGTCATTCCCTCTATTTTGGACTTGGCCAAAATAAAAGTAGCCAAGAAGCAAACAGGGTTGCCGTTGGTGCAGAAAGCCCTGCAATGCATTTCCATTTTGAGTGACTTGCCTGCAGAACCACTCATCATAATTTGTGATATTACAGATAAATATCTAGAACTTAATGACGTGCAAGTTCTAGTACAAGAGATCACAAGGTTGTACCACACAGCGGAACTTTCCCAGCACAAGTGCCCAGCTTACTTTTTCAGGTCTGTTTTTTGTTCTCATTCTAAAACAACATCCTCCACTCCAGCTCCTCTCATTTATCAAGGAGATACCTTCTTATTATCGGGATTCTTGTAATCCTTTCACCAGACCACAGACAAAAAAAAGAACAATCGATTTCTTCTCTCTCCTCCATTAAAACAAACAAACAAACAAATAGCCTTAAAACCCAAAGAACACGTAAAAGGGAAGAACAAAAATACAATTGTTTTAATAAATGCATGTATCATACTTGAAAACATAAACTGGAAGAAGTTTCTACTTTAATATTCTTCATTAACAAGTGAATAAAAAGCACAAACAATAATCAAATTTGTTTAAATAAACTACTTTATTCAAGCAGAACAAAGGTTTGGCTGAAAACTTTCTCATTCCAGATAATCTTCCCTCAGAATCAACTACTTTCCAGTTAAAAAATAAAACAAAACAAAACATCCTTTTGCTTTCTGTGCTTTCCAAATGGATGTTTCAAAGTCATGAGTAAGATAACAGACATAGTGGACATTTTTTCTGCATCTTTAGCAGTCATATGTCTGGCACATTTCTGCAGAAAAGCAGACATAATAAAGCAAACTGTAAAGTTTTCCACAAAGCAAATAGTACTAGAATCTGCCAGGAACTGATGAGTTCCCTCATAACTAAGCCTCGACAATTCTCTTAAAGCACCATTATAGCCTATAATCCAATTTTAGATGACTTAATGATCAAGGATTACAGATCTGTTCCACCCTTATAGTTACATTTTTTTTTAACTAGTAGCTTTAAGCTATCTTCAGTTGAACAAACAGTTTTCAAGTTGGAACCACCTATGCAACACCTAAATGAATACAAAGCTCACATTTGATAAATAGCGTCATAATTTGAGGACTGCTGAGCTGATTATCAGTCCTGGTTTGATGCTAGCATCTTTACACAACCTAAACACGTACGGTTACCGAAACACAACACTCCTAACCATTTGCCCAGAAAAGACGTATCTGCAAGACAGAGGAATGACAAATAAAAAAGTCTCAATTCATTTGGTCTTTAAGTTGTCCTGGTAAAACCAGAGAAAATGTTATCCTCAATGTAATTTGTTGAGAACATTAAGCTCTCAACAACAAAAAAGCTCACCTATGAAAAACAGAGGCTGGAACAGGAACCTCTTGCTACATTAATCACTTTCTCAAAAGCCTTATGTGACGTGCATAATTAAACCTATGTAAAAACAGGTAGGAGGGAATATTTTAGCTAGTCATTATGATAGAAGCAGAACATTAGTATCCAGAAGGTTCCTTACTACTTG